CAAACATTAACAGGAAGATAGAATTTCAGTAGCAATGTGCATATTAAATATCGACGACTTTGGCTCAATATTCACACACTGCTCCACACACACACACACAGCCCCCCATACACACATTGCCCCACACACATACACAGTCCCCCATACACACACTGCCCCCACACACACATACTGCTCCCCATACACACACTGCACATACACTGCCCCCCATACACACACTGCCCCATACACATCATACACATTCACACACTGCCCCATACACACATTGCCCACACATATACTGCCCCCACACACCACACACATTCACACACTGCCCATACACACACATTGCCCCACACACACACATACACTGCCCCATACACACACTGCCCCCACACACCATACATATTCACACTCTGCCCCCACACACATATACTGCCCACCCAACCCATACATACACTGCCCCACATACACACATACACAGCCCCCCATACACACATTGCCCCCCCCACACACTGCCCAACACACCCTACACATTCACACACTACACCCCCCCACTTACTGAACCTTTCACACACACTGCAACCCTCACACATTGCACCACTCACACAAACTACTGCTCCTTTGCCCTACTACAGCCCCATATCCCAGCAGACCCCAGGTAAGTTGTCAAACTGTTCTTAAACGGTTTGACTATTTACTCTGGGAGGGTGTCCTGGCACTCCTGGCACCATAACCACTATACAGAGCTGTAGTTGTTATTGTGCATGAATTATTTCTTTAAATAATCTACAAGTGCCTCCCCCGAGATCAGGCTCTGGATCCGCCACTGTCATGCAGACTAACACAAATGCTGACTCAAGTAGACACACACTAACACTAACCCATGTAGACTGACACACACAGACTCATATACACACACTGACCCATGCAGACACACACATACAGGCACACTGACTCATGCAGACACACACATACAGACACACTGATCCATGCAGACACACACACACTGACCCATACAGAGACACACTGGCCCATACAGACAGACACACTGACCCATACAGCCACACACACACTGACCCATACAGACAGACACACTGACCCATACAGACTGACACTGACCCATACAGACACACTGACCCATACAGACAGACACACTGACCCATACACACATACTGACCCATACAGACAACCACACTAGCATACATAAACATACTGACTGAACCAGACTAACACACTTTCTCTGACATACCTTACCTTCATTGCTGTTCATTCCCTGCGCCTGGCTGTCCTTTCTCTGCACATCTCCTCCTTTCTCTTCACATTATGCTCCTGCCCACTTCTCCCCACATACAGGGGAAGGTGCGGGAGCGAGGAATTGAAAAAAATCCTTTAAATAATCTACAAGTGCCTCTCCCGAGATCAGGCTCTGGATCCGCCACTGTCATGCAGACTAACACAAATGCTGACTCAAGTAGACACACACTAACACTCACCCATGTAGACTGACACACACAGACTCATATACACACACTGACCCATGCAGACACACACATACAGACACACTGACTCATGCAGACACACACATACAGACACACTGACCCATGCAGACACACACACACTGACCCATACAGACAGACACACTGACCCATACAGCCACACACACACTGACCCATACAGACAGACACACTGACTCATACAGACTGACACTGACCCGTACAGACAGACACACTGACCCATACAGACAGACACACTGACCCATACAGACACACTGATCCATACAGACAGACACACTGACCCATACAGACAGACACACTGACCCATACACACACACTGACCCATACAGACAGACACACTAGCATACATAGACATACTGACTGAAGCAGACTAACGCACATGCTCTGACATACCTTACCTTCATTGCTGTTCATTCCCTGCGCCTGGCTGTCCTTTCTCTGCACATCTCCTCCTTTCTCTGCACATTATGCTCCGGCCCACTTCTCCCCACATACAGGAGAAGGTGCGGGAGCAAGGAATTGAAAAAATTCCTTTAAATAATCTACAAGTGCCTCTCCCGAGATCAGGCTCTGGATCCACCACTGTCATGCAGACTAACACAAACGCTGACTCAAGTAGACACACACTGACACTTACCCATGTAGACTGACACACACAGACTCATATACACACACTGACCCATGCAGACACACACATACAGACACACTGACTCATGCAGACACACACATACAGACACACTGACCCATGCAGACACACACACACTGACCCATACAGACAGACACACTGACCCATACAGCCACACACACACTGACCCATACAGACAGACACACTGACTCATACAGACTGACACTGACCCGTACAGACAGACACACTGACCCATACAGACAGACACACTGACCCATACAGACACACTGATCCATACAGACAGACACACTGACCCATACAGATAGACATACTGACCCATACACACACACTGACCCATACAGACAGACACTCTAGCATACATATTATTGGATTGGTTATTGGAGTGCCTTGATCATTTTCTACAAACACTAGCATACATAAACATACTGACTGAAGCAGACTAATGCACATGCTCTGACATACCTTACCTTCATTGCTGTTCATTCCCTGCGCCTGGCTGCCCTTTCTCTGCACATCTCCTCCTTTCTCTGCACATTATGCTCCGGCCCACTTCTCCCCACATACAGGGGAAGGTGCGGGAGCGAGGAATTGAAGCGCCCGCACGCTGCAAAAAACTTTCTTGCACCAGGGCCCTCTCTACATTAGTTCCGCCACTGGTTAAACTGCATGAAAATGATTTAACACTGAATGAAGGGATACTGCCAGGGGACTCCAGCCAGTATAACCAATTCAGTGAGATGAAATGGTTATAGTGCCTGCAGTGGAGTTAGTTGGGAGCTTAGAGTCAATCATTTTAAAGCAGCGTAGACCATTATTTCCAGTTAATGAGCATGTTTCAGGTGGTTAATGGATCAAATATAATTTGAACCTTTCATCCTTCTGAGGCTCAGGAGAGTTGGGGAATACTAACATCTATAAGTCATCTGACAATTTTACTATATCAAAGAGTCTTCTTTAAACCTTTCCCAAAGGTGCACAAACGGCCAGAATTTAATGTTTTTAATGTTGTTGCACAGGTAAACTTATCAGTGTATGAGCAATTCGGACTGACCTACCTGTGTACCAGTAACAACAGTTACAAATCCCAGCTGTTGGTGACTAATGAGTTCCACGAACACTGACTAATGGATTAAAAATCCACATGGGAGAAAAAAAAAAGCAATAAAACAGATAACTTTTATTACTATCTTAAAAAAACTCTATAATAAAATGTCTTTTTAGACATCACACACAGTTTTAAACCATTACTTTCTATTGACATTTGAGTTTTTGTTTGTCTTGGTGATTATTACTGTCACTTCATTTCTATGGACAACAAAAAATAACTCATTATTTCGACACAGACGTTTCCCAGTGCTTCTCTTCATCCGCAAATTCATATTAGATGTAAGTAAAAATAGCAACTTGAAGGATGAAATAGATTGTGAAATGGCTTATTCAGACAATGTTTACTACACCACTGATAAATTGCTCCCCTTAAGGTTACAAAGTAACCATGCGCTCTTCATTTTGCCGTGGACAGCGGAATAAGTGGTGTTCTGCGTTTTATAATTTACAGTTTAAATGCTGCCTCTGGCTGAGGGCCAATCAGCAGAAACTTCTGCTAAAAGCACCCTTCAACTAAAATACGTAACATTACAATCATTAGGCAGGAACGAGTCATTGAGAAATATGTAAGCACGTAAAATATATAGATAACGGAAATATTTTCCGCCATGTTTTAACGTATTTTATATTTAGTCATAACAAAGCTCAAATTGGGCTATTTACTAAAGCTAGAATTCAAAGTAAATTTAAAGTGAATTTCAAATTTAAGGCCAGACTGAAAGCATATTAAGCTATTACAGCTATTTAAACCTTAAATTTGAAATTCACTTTAAATTCTAACTTTAGTGAATTAACCATGAAAGTATTTTTATCCTGTAGAAATTCATAATACGATTGATTATCAGGTTTTAGTTATGAGTGTTAATGAACGGGGAGTGGAATTTTAATTCCAGTGTAGTCATTTCTATTCTACTTTAGAGTTTTAATACCAGTAATTTAGAAAGTTTCTGCTTGAACATATAAACAAACTATTATATCTACTTTATCGTTATTGTAGTTTTTACAAATGCATAGTAATGTTTATTTACTTAGTTTAGTTATTAGTAAATAGTGACATGGTGTGAGAAATTAAAAATTTAGTACAATATGTCACCAATCAAAATTTTTTAACAACTTGACTATATTGGTGTAAAGTCTGCAATATCCTCATCATTTCTTTCCATTAGTTCAGTGAACAAATCCTCAGCATTTAAACACATATAGACCGTTACTTCCTTCACCATACTGCTTGTTTCAAAGGAGCATTGAAACCACTTCAACTTATTGAAATGGTCAAACATTCAGTGTCAAACCAATATTATTTAGTGCAGAAAAAGAGTGCCCAGCAGCTCATCCCCTCTGTGCTGCTTCAGCTAATGGGTGGCTGTGATTGGCTGAGAATGTCAGCTAACTGCTTTCAGCCTATTACCGCCCCTGTTGCTGAAGGAATTTGTATGGCTAGAAGAAAGTGTATAATCTCTGACTTAGCCACACTGCCCGTGTGGGCCTGGACTGGGAGCAACCAAACACCTTTAATTAGCGTGAAACTGCTAAAAAAATGGTTAAACTGAATGGATGGACAATACCATGGGATTCCAAGCACTATAACCAGTTCAGTGAGAAAAAACAATTATAGTGTTTAGATTGTCACTTTAAGAAAAAAAAAATCGATATATTCTGCTGATAGGTAGTGATGTCCCGAACGGTTCGCCACGAACGGTTCGCCACGGACTCATCATTGAGTAAACTTTGACCCTGTACCTCACAGTCAGCAGACACATTCCAGCCAATCAGCAGCAGACCCTCCCTCCCACACCCTCCCACCTCCTGGACAGCATCCATTTTACATTCATTGTGAAGCTGCATTCTTAGTGAGCTGTCCAGGAGGTGGGAGGGTCTGGGAGGGAGGGTCTGCTGCTGATTGGCTGGAATGTGTCTTCTGACTGTGAGGTGCAGGGTCAAAGTTTACTCAATGATGAGTCCGTGGCGAACCATTCGTGGCGAACCGTTCGCGAACTGTTCGCGAACCGTTCTGCGAACCGTTCGGGACATCACTACTGTTAGGTCCTGAAACATTTCAGCTTCTAGTTGTGAAGTGGTGACATGTCTTTTCAGTTTTTTAATGTGTTACTGAACTCTTAGCAGACCACTAGCTTTCAGCAGTGTCTATCAAAGATGATGATGCCTGTTTTTGATCAATATCTAATTAGCCCAGAAGAGCTGAAAAATACATGTTTTTCTTTCACTAATAATAGAGTGGAAAGGGACACCGAGGGACAAGGTAAATTTTAGTTGCCTAAGGACAGAGAAGAATCTGGACTAGATCATTGGGGAAACGTAACTCCAATCTTTAATTAGGACAAAGTGAATATACACATGCCACCCAAAGGCAACTGGATTATATAGGGTATTATTTAGTGGCAGAGACTTTAATACTGCCATTTAATACATTTTCTGTAAGTTTTTATTTTTTCTATACAGCATGGTTTGTCATATACAAGTTGTAGTGCCTCTGAAATAAAAGTTCTAAGAAAATACACAGAAATGGTTTCAAACATTAGGAGTTTACTTTGTCTTCTAAGTAGAATATATTTTTTCACTTTTATATGGTGTTTGCTTCTTGAATAACATTCTGGTATTCTGTTTTAGAACCAGTAGTATAAAGTACAGACTATGCGTCTTTCCACGTGTGAGTGAAGACTAAATTAGGAGACATTTTATGTGATCGCCTATACATGCTTCATGTTTAGGTGCAAATATCTAAGTACATCCTTGCAAAATGGTGTTTACATATTTTGCAACGTAGTTTGCCTTGGCCTTTAGCATGTGACCCCCCCATTGTTTACATACAAGATAAAGCAGAATTGATGGTGCCTATTATCTATCAACCAGCATATATTTCTAAGTCATTAATTTTACCTTTAAATGTAATGAAGACTGTGCAGCAAACCATTAATTGAAATTTATCACAAAGCAAAGAGAAAGGTTCATCAAGGTCAAGGATTAATGAACGTTTAATGTATTATATTTAACTACTGTTTATGAACCTGATTTACAAAGAGCAATTGTCCCATGTGGCGTTTGAAAGTACTTTAAAACTACGTATTTTATGCAACCTGTATTTTCATAGCTTGCATGTTATGTTTAATTACCCCCTACAGTTATTGTTATTATTATTATTAACATTTATATAGCGCCAATATTATAAAGGGGGGAACTTAATAAATGAGAAAATTAAAAAATGTTACAGGAACAATAGGTTTGATGAGGACTCTGCTCAAAAGCTTTCAATGTAAAGGTGGTGGGGTATAAAAACACAATGGGAAGGGCATTGAAGGGATATCAACTAAGCACCAAAGTTGGAAAGTAGCAGAACCGAAGGTGGGAGTGGAGTGTGGCCCATTGATAGAGAGCAAGAGACAGGTCATAAGCTTTTCTGAGGTGGTGTTGTCATGGTGCCTGATCGGTACAGTCACACTATCGCAGTGCCTGATCGACGCCACAGTGTGGCTGTGCCTGATTGGCACGATCACACTAAAGGAAGGAGAGGTTACTCACCTCATTCCCTCCATGCTGTTTGTGGATCGGCGGCTGGGTCCAACGTTGGGAGGGACGCCGGCTGCTGCAAGACGGCACTAATTAATAACGCCGCCCAAAATGATGTCACTAGTGACGTGAACGTGCATGGTCATGTTTTCGCTGTGCACACACGTTCTGGGGTCGTGGGATCCAAATCAGCCAATAGCAGGATTTACGGGGTTATTTAAACCCAAACTTCCAGTTGTTCAGTGCCCTTTCATGGTTTCCATCATGTTATCCAAGATTCTGATTATTGTTTTTTGATCTTGGCTTGACTCGACTTCCCGTATTTCTGGTATTCCTGACCCTTTGGCTTTGTTCTTTCCGTATTTTTTCCTTTCTGTATTCCTGACTTCGGCTCGTGGCTGTTTATTCTTTTACGTTAATTCCGGCCATTCTAAGGCCCGGTAATAAGTTGTTACTGTCTGTATTTGTTATGTGTTTGACTTAATTCTGCATGTTAGACCACTGGTTCGTCCTGACAGATGTGTTTTGAGGGACTACTTAAATGATTGGAGACTAAGGGAGAGTCTGATGGAAAGAAGTTGCCTGCGAGAAGTCCTGCAAGCATGAGTTAGCAGTAAGGGTACTAGTAACGGACAGTAGAGGGTCACTGGCAGAGGGGGGAGACCAAGAAGGGGCATACCTATGAATTAGTGAAGATAGGTAATGTGACGAAGTGCCCTTCGCCACTTGTGCCTGGAGAGGACTGCTTGCCCGCCTCTTGCCCTGTGACTATGGCCCCTGGGATGTATTGCCCTTTAAAGACATGATTTGGGCATAATGGATTTGTGTTGTGCTGGGGACATACTGTGGAGTTACTGGGTGGCCACCATTTCCTGTATCAGAAGCACATGGTGAGAACAATGGATGGCGGCCATTTTAACTCACAGACACTGTTTGGACTTTTCAACACGGTGCCATCTTGCCAGTATTTGGTGCACAGAGACATCGTGCAGTGGTTTTGGAATATACAGCAGGGGACACATTATACAGTGATTGTTTTTCATTTAGCCTGTATATGTTCTGCAGAATCTGCATTAAACTGTATTTTCCAAAGTACTGAACGGATCTGGGTGAATTCTGGATATGTGGTTCACCCAGATCCCCCAGTTCCAAGGTGTAACGGATCGCCTGGCACCCCGACTGGGTACCTCCGTTGAAGGATGCTCCTAGCGCTTCCTGAGGACTCCAAGCACTCTGGCAGACACCACAATCACCGAACCGGAGAAACAAATAAATTCCCCCAAGCATATGAATGCTGTAGACAGTTGAATAGGAACCATATGAATAGGTTTACTCTCCTAGCAGTCAAACTGGAACAGCATACAATAAATCCTTCCCCCAATAATGAGACGACACTTCACTTTGAGGGTTAAAACAGGAACTCCTGTGCTGGCACACCCAGCCTGGTTTTTATTACAATCCACAAAACATAGTACTGCCCACAGGGTTTTGCAGAACCACCAATAAACACATTACAACACATACAATGCAAGTACAGCAGCCAATCAGACACAATGGGACAATAGAAACACACCCAGCATATTCCTCCCCTCTGCTTTGAGATAATTGAGTCAATTACTGTATCTACTCAATTATCTCCAAGCTGAAAAGTTACTTTTTGTACATTTTTATAACTTTGTGAGTTAACATCGTACATACATAAAACTTACATTTTCAGAATCAATCCATTCAGGGGAACAACATATTAAAAAATGGCACGAATCAGACCAGGGGTTCAAAAGTTAAGGGAAAGTCCTTTGTGACTAAATGAAGCATGGCTTTCCGGCCCAAACCAGTTTCAGAGTCTTCTATCCTGGAGATAAGTAATTCAATTATTTCCCAGGACAGACACAAGACTCCATTAAGCATATGGTTGCAAAAAGACACAAAACACTTTAAAATACATAAAGTCACATTTTATACATAAAACACAGACATGACACATATCCCCAGATAGCTGGGATCTGAGCGCACAAAACTACCGAATAGCGCTCAGATCCTATTCACACAGTTCAATTGCCATGGAGCCGAAGTCTTTAACTACACGAATGGGCTCCATGGCATAGCTATCTGGGTTAATAACTTCACATAAAGTCTGGTCCATAGTCCAAAGGCAAGAGGCAGGCAAGCAGCCCCCTCCAAGGACACGTGGCGAGGCCGGTTTCGCCACATTTCTCCTCTTTACCATCCAGACTAACAGGGTATCTGACCTCCTGCCGGTCAGTGCCCTGGTTAGTCCAGCAACCAACCCACGAAGCACAAACAGCAATACAGCCCACCCACAATAACTGGTTACTACACCTGGATAAAATAGCAACTTGTCCATGTCCAGGTGCCTCACCACGGCTGTGCGGGGGCTGGTAGACTGCCTTGGTGGGTTGCTGAGTGGGCAGAGACCAGCGGTACTCTGCCCGGGTGCCAGCGCTACCACTGAAGTAGCCTGGTTGGAGCCTGGTTGGGGGAGGGGGAGACCAACTGTCTCCCCTCTGGATACACTGCTCTGAGGCTGGGGGACAGGACCGACCGTCCCTGCCCCTGGGGCTGCAAGTGCAGAGACTACGGTCCCATCTGCATAGTTGTGGGGCTTAACATCTCCCCTTGGTGGGTTAGGCTGCCGCTGGAGAGAGGGTGTAACAAGCTCCTCTCCCTGAACTGTAGACTGCCGCTGAGGAGAGGGGGTAACAAGCTCCTCTCCCATACATACTTTCAGCCGCTGGGGAGAGGGGATAACAAGCTCCTCTCCCTGACACTCTCTCTGCGGTTGGAGGGGGAGACCGACTGTCTTCCCTTTCAATAATTTGTCCTGTTGCTGGGGAGAGGTGATAACCGGTTCCTCTCCCTGGAACACTCTCTGCTGTTGGAGAGGGGGACCAACTGTCTCCCCTTTTAATATATTGCCCTGCTGCTGGGGAGCGAGACCGACTGTCTCCGCTTCCTGCAGGACACACTGCCGCTGGGGAGGAAGTACAGCTCCCTGGGATACATACTGCCGCTGGGG